TTTTTTTACTTAATAAAGTCCCCTTAATTTAACTTAACCATCATATTTTTCTTTTTTTGTGTGTTCCATCTTCAATGGATTCGTGTATTTTTTTTTCTCCTTTCAAAAATCAACTCCCCTAGTTTAAATTGTACGGACAACGGCCTTGTATAAGGTCATCCCTGTTCTATATGGTTATATGACAACTGTCACGAGGTTTTGGTGTACATCTACTATCAACGAATCAACGGACATCAACTTTAATATTTATTAACTTTATATTTTTTTCTAATTGTTTTAATATACAAAAGTTAATTTTTTTTAAAATCCTACTGTGGTCCGACAATACACTGTCTCGCCCAGTAAGTTGGCGACCCTTTTCTTATAATTTTGTAAAACGCCATGAAAGTTACAAATTTTTCGTTGCGGCCAATTAATTTGATTTTTATATATTTGTAACCTTTCAAAAGTCAAATGAATAAGCATTTTCCGTTTTTCCTCTGTAACACAGTGACATTTTGGTGTCGCCGTCGTTGTACGTTTTAATTTCATCGTCCGTCAACTGTATTCTGGGGACAAAAACTTGTCGGTTGTCGGGCATCCGTGCCACCACCACAACACCATTTTTCGTTGTCAAATTTTTCATTGAAAACATTCGATAGACATGATTCTCTACGAGGTCAGACATTTTAATGTATTCCATGGCTTTGGCTTGATTATTCATTTTTTGTTTTAATTGTTCCATTTTCTACACACCAGAATTATTCGTGAGTAAACTATATATGTATATATATGGTGAATGTCGTATTAATGGTGTATAACTCGACACTGATATGTACATTTCTAACAATAATTACTACCATCAGCCACAGCATCACACGGAGGAGGATACCGCGTAATACAAGTTCTCCAAAAATTGCACGTAATTCGAAAACGGATGCAGCTAGTGCTATGAATTTTTTTTTTTTTTCGTCACCTCAATCCGCTGCCACGAGACCATTAATCTGATATACATATCGGTATGCTCTCATAGCATACTACCCCTCTCCTCTCTCCATTTGTTTATGTTTAAGATAAATTACTAGTCTACAATACAGTCGATGCACTCCTACAGCTATGTGTACTCCTCTAACCACTTATAAACTGAGTTGTTTTTTTTTTTTTAATAATACAGTTGTTTACAAACTATTCGTCATCATATATCGTAGAAATCATTGAGTGTGTGAAATAAATACATTTTTTTTTTAAGTTAGTTAAAACGAGTACACACACACATACCATTAATACAACATATTTACATATTTATTTAACATAATAATTTAAAATATTTAAATGTATTTACAAAACTATATATACAACACTTAATTTACACTGACCATGTAAATATTTGTTCATCACAATATTTAAACATACAGTGAGGTTGAAAGTGTAAAATTAACTCTTTGGTAATTTCATTTTGAATGATTAAAATTATTGTAAACTTATAAGTACATTTATAACTGAATAGTGGTGGTTAGATAATAACTTACTTTGGTTCAATACACGAAAACAGAAATATACTTTAAAAAGACACTGGTTCGGGTTTTTGAATATATTTAATGACCTAAAAATTCGTATTTGTACTACTTAAAATATTATAATTTTACTTATATACTAGCAAAGGATAGTGGGGACGGAAGCAAATGATAACGGAAAAAAGTGCAACCCCATTGCGGCGTAGCCTCCCCCGTTAGCCGGACCCCACTAGGGGGTCCGTTGCCCGGGTTGGACCACGTGGAGGTGGGGGTAGGCAGTCTTTTCCATTGTTGGCCGGGTTAAGAACCCGACCTTCTTCTTTTTTCCTTCTAACAGGGCAGTCCTTGGCGACGTGCCCCTCCTTCTTACATCCGAAGCAGGCCTTCGACCGGTCCGGTCCTTTACACGCATGAGCGATATGCCCGCGTTCCAGACACCTGTAGCACTGAGGACCCTTGTCAAGAATCCTCAGCCTAAAGGATGTCCACCCCACCCGGACTCGGCCTATGGCCGCCAGGCGTTGAGCCATCTTGAGGGGCACGTCGCACCTCGCATACCGCCCTTTACCGCCGATGTTTGTGCGGACCGTAATGGGTCCCACTTTCGGCGGCAATTTTCCACTTGGAGAATTCAGGGCGGCGCTCAGTGCTTGTCGCACATCTTGCTCCTCCTGCCACTCCTCCACATCCAGGAGGAGGACGGTGCAGGTCATCGAGGGACGTTGTACCCGCACGTCCATCTCCTGCAGGGCCGCCTTTAACCTGGCCGCCAGAAGGTCCGCTTGNTTTAAGCCTGGCCGCCAGGAGGTCCGCTTGTTCTGCTGACCACCTGACCTCCAGGAGGACTGCCCCCGTCTGTGTTCTCCTGGTCCCGGACACCTGGATGCCCAGGGCCAGGAGATCAACCGCAGCCATGGCTATGCCCATAACTGTGGCATATTTCTGGCCCTCCTTCAAGGGGCCGATAACCACGGCTTCCGTGCGTGGCACTTTAGACCGCAGCTTCGCTGCATTTTGGCTCCTCTTTGTTTGTGGAGGTTTAGGCCCGTTCGCCGTATCCTCCTTCTTCTTTATAATTCCTGCCTTCCTTCCTACAACTGTGGACCACAGCGGTTCAGCGGGAGTACCTCCCGCATCCCCTTCTGCAGACCTCGCGTCGTTTGCCCGGTTCGCCGCTCTCTCGTCAGTCTGCGTCTGGGTAGGCGCGACTGAATCGGAGACCGGATCTTGGACAGCAGGGCGCTTTTTCTTCCTCTTCCTTTTTCTATCCGTCACGTTGGTTTCCTTCGGCTTGACGACCGGTGGATCCTCGACGCCGGTTTGCGTCCCAGCTTCCTTAGCTAATTTCTAAGGCGCTGCTTCCAGGACCCTTGGCTGGGCTACTGCCTCTGCTGGGGCTTCCTGGACGGTGGAGACGCTCTTTTGCGTTTCTCTTCGTCCAGGATCTCCTCCAAGCGCTTCGTCGCGGTTTGCACCTCCTTGTGCACCCCCATTCCGCGACGCTTGTCTATGACGCCTCGGAGCACGGCCACTTGCGCGCTTATGCTCTCCATCATAGTCGACGTCACTTCTTCCGACGGGTCGTGCCGCTTCTTGCGGCATGGCCGCACTGAGCTCCTCAGCTCGCTGAGGGCCTGGCATGACAGGGAGATCTGCTGAACGAGGTTCATCAGGCTCCCCTCGACTTCCGCCGTTCTGGCAAGTGCGACGACGTGGTTGAGGCCGACGTCAAACGTGGCCTCGTCATCGCTTTCGCCTTCTTCCCCCAAAAGTGCCCTCCTCTTGCCAGGATACCACAGTGTGGGAGATCTCTCGGGCAGCGGACTCATAGCTGGCGAGTCCGTTCTGTGGCGAGTTGATGAACCTTCCCCCAGGGACGGTTCTGCGCTATCAACCCGGTCGCCCGTCCGCATTTCCTAGTCGTCATATACCACAGCCATGGCATCCGGAGACGACGACATTTCCAGCTTCTTTTGTCCTTCCTCGTACGCCATAAACTCGGCGGCCTGACGAAGCCCGCGCCCCATGTTCCTCATTATCCCGCTATCGTTATGGCAGGATAAGAGTTCTGAGGCGACTAGGCGGGCTACGCCCATTAGTCGTTCTGCCTACATTTATCGATGAGCTCCGCTCTCTGCTCGGGCTCATCGATACCTTCTAATGGGTCATATTCCATGACCCTTTCCGTGGCAAACGGACGTCCGTCTTCCAGGTCCTTCTGCATCAGCTTCAGCACCGTGGAAACTGAATTGCGGAAAGATTTGATCGTCCGGAATTGGCCGCACGGGAACGAATCCCGGGGCGGCTCATCCGTCTCCACGCCGTGGAGCCAACCACTCCATCTAGCGAATTCTGATTGGGTCAGCGGCATGTCGTCGCGAAAACGATCACGCACGCCTTCCCAATCTTCCACCATCTCCTCGATGGTAGCAAGGCCACCAGCAGTTACCTCAGTGACCCGAAGGTTTCGTAGCCCCGTAGAGCCCGATTACGCCGACACTGTAGCGCAGCGAAACGGGAGCAAAGTAAGCCTAACAAATCCAAACCCACGTGAAACCCAGCAAAGTGGGATCGGAATAAAGTGCAACCCCACCCCACAACAAATCCAAACCCGTCCTCTATTCTAGCAGAGGCTGCAAAAGCGAAGTTAGATGATTTCGGAAAAAAAGTCCAAACGTTTCGAACGTACGTCTCGCTACGGAAACCAAGGGTTTGCTACGCGATCTAGAGAAGGGGTGTCAAAGGCCGGTTACCAAGTAGGTAACAGATTACGGAAAGGGGTATCCGGCTGCGCCGGATACGTTGCGTTGAACAATAACAGGAGAAATCGGTAGCACGCCCGACGCGTCGATCGGGTTCGGGGGGGGGAATATACAGACATTAGAATACTCACTAAAACCGATTAATATTTCATATTAAAGTAGAGTATTCGAAATTAAAGTACGTCGAATGTATCTAATGGAGTAGGCAAAAACGAATATTCCAAGTATTCGCTAAATAAATAAATATTTAAACTCGTAATTTTTAAAATAATACAATAGTGAATTGTTCGTCATTCGAACAAAACGATTATGAATCGAAAATTCAATGTATAACAATCGACTAAGTAAGAGTCACCGTGCACGATNGTAATTGACTAAGTAAGAGTCATCGTGTACGATAATTTCCATACATAAAATGTAAAATCTGATACAATATCAGATAATAAAGTCTTAATGTATTTAAAAATATTGCACACATAATTATTATTTTTTCAAATAAAAAAGTAATATAAATAGGAAAAATCATGTTTCATTATTGGGCAACAACACACATAAAAAAAGGTTTTATTCATATTGAAATACAGTACTCAAAATATAATTTGAATGCATTAAAATTATTAATAATTTATTAAATGTAAAATTATTTATTAAAATAATTTATTATTTTTCGACCTACGGTAAATAATATTGTAAACATAGGATATTAGTTTCTTTTAAAAATAAAAAAAAAATTAACGTTTCTTTATTAATTAATGTTTTATTATTGTCTTGATCACACACACACATAAAAAAATTTAGTCGTTATTGAAGTAATATACTCCAAGTACATATAGATATAATTATTATTAGAAAAATACGGTTTAATGAGAGACTCAAACGTAAACCGATACAATAATAGCGGTAAAGGAATTACGTTGTAATTTAAATAAGTAATAATCGTTGTCAATGAACTCCAAGAGCGAATTGCACGTTGTAATCGTGATGATCCTCCGTGTTGTCGAATGACAATATCTAATGGAATCGAGGTTTGACACGCGATCTGAAAAGTAAACAATATAAATGAAAATAAAATCCAAGATAACAACTAACGAAAAGCTTACAGTACCGTTTTGGAGGAACAGTGAGGGAGGGCAAGCATAGGCATAAAAGTAAACCAACAGCACAGAATTATCAACACGTCGTGAGTACAACAACAGAAGTGAAAATTTTGTAGCTTTACCAAAGACCGTGCACAATCTAAAATTTACAAATCACATTAATTAATACAGTCACTACCATAATGGGAACATAAAAAAAAAAAAAAAGATTTAAATATTTCATTTGTCCCACAATTATCCATTATACTTTTTAATAAATAAACATGTCATTGCTGTTATACATTCATCATTAGAGATATACATATAAACTAAAATTGCTGTTTATGTAATAAGATGAACTCCATTACACACAATTCTATAAATAATCCCATAACTGAATATAAATAAATATACACGTACGAAAAAATCAAAAACATTTGGATCTTATCGGCCGATGCAGTACACATTACAATGTAATCAACAACAGATGATAAAATAACGACCCAATAATTAAAGCAGGCAAAGTAATTAAATTTATATCAAATAAAAAAAGTCAAAATCAGTTACCTGTGTAATACAACCATTATGAATTAGAGCCAGCACTCTTCGGGTCGGTTGGTTGCAACTCAATCACAGTCAATCAGGCAAAACAGATGCACAGACTGAAAATTATAAAGTCAAATCAATTAATAATTCCATTATCATAATAAAAATAAAATATCTACAATATAAAGTATATAAGTGTAAAAATATATTTATATGTATGTATGTATGTATGTATATATATATATTAATATATGCAAAGTAAATCGATTAAAACGTATAAAGATGAACTCTATTTTAAGAAAAATCAATAGCAATAAATTTCTTTTGACAAATGAAAATAAATTACCCGTGCAATAAATCCAATAGCGATGACTTAGTTAGATCTCTAACTTAGTTATCCTGGCACAACAGTGTTGCAGTCTAAAAATTACAAAAACAAATTAAATCAATACTGCCATTTCCCTATTTGTATGTTGCATATTACTACATATTGCACACCAATAAATGAAATACAAATCAACCTAATGATTAACATATGCTAAATAAATTGATTAAAATGCAAAAGGACGAACTCGACTTTGAGAAAAGTAAATAATAATAAATTTTTTTTTTGTCAAATAAATTACCCTTGTTATTATAAATCCAATAGTGACAACAGCAAGCAGTGTCCAACGTATTCATACGGGAACAACAGATATAATCTAAAAATTACAAAATGAAAATAATTAAAATTACCATTAGCATAATAATAAAACTACAATATTTTTATTACAATTGCTGTGAAATTGTCAATAAAACATTTCAATAAGAAATAATCATAAAGGGGGAATCACAAATATAGATGTAGTACATGCGACAAAAAATTAATTAAAAAAAAAATAAGTATATATGTGTAAATAGAGAGAGAGAGAGATTATATAAACTAATGTAGTACAAATCAAATAAATGATTAAAATATGTAAAGTAAATCGATTAAAATGTAAAAAGTTGAACTCGACTTTGAGAGAAATAAAATCAAGACAATTAATTATTGTTTAATGCAATAAAATAAATTACCCTTGTAATAAATCTTAAACCAATAGCATCGATTTTCAGAATATTCATTCGGGCACAACAGATGCAGTCTAATAATTACAAAATGAAAATTAATTTATCGATGCCATTACCACCATAAAAAAAACCAAACTACATTAATTACTGACCAACGGATATTATTTAACAAATAAAAACGAATTACCCGTGTAATAAATCCGTTATCCATTAGAACCAGCACTTTTGGCCAACAGGCCGAGCCGTTATGGAAGCATACCACCTTGGGACGCAACAAACGCCGTCTAAAAACTATAAAATCAAATCGATGTCGTTACGACGATTATATATAAACGATTTTGAAATTATATATGAATTACTACAACGGTTGTCAAAACGTCAAACGCACATTTTTTTTTTTTTGTGTTTTTTAACGAATAAAAAGGCGTTACCCGTGTTAATAAATCCGTTTGTTAGATCGTTAGAGCCAGCACTCTCATTATCGAAGCAGTCCTCCGGGCACACGACAAACGCCATCTAAAAATTACAAAATCAAATAAAATAAGACCGTCACAATATCGACAATTGATAAACTGCGTTAATCGTAATCGCCGTGTAAAATTACCAACGGAGAGTTTCGATTAATATATATATATAATCGCAATAATAGTAGAAGTAGAAAATTTACAAAATCACATTAATAAACGAATACAGTCAATACACTATATTGAAATAACGACAGAATAAACGACGTACAAAACGGCGACGCGGTGATAACGACCGCGTTTGGGCGTCGGACGCGATGATAACGACGAAAAGGCGGGAATGCGAGCGGCCGAGTGGGAGGCGCGCTCCCCTATTTCGCGTCGTCTTCCGTTCCACGGAATCGCGAATAAAAAAAAACGGGGACGGCGAAAAATTTGAGCGGCGGTCGGAAAAGACGCGGGACCGTAAGCGCCGTCGAACGGTACGGGAACGGAGGCGATAGGAGAAAAACAGGAATTTTAATACGTAAAAAACGTAATATTTCTTCCAGGTATCTAGTGTATCTAGTGTCTAGTGTCTAGTATCTAGTATCTAGTATCTAGTATATCTAGTGTCTAGTATCTAGTATCTAGTGTCTAGTATCTAGTATATCTAGTGTATAGTATCTAGTGTCTAGTATCTAGTATCTAGTGTCTAGTATCTAGTATCTAGTATCTAGTGTCTAGTGTCTAGTCTCTAGCTATATACTAAAATCCAGCCCCTCATTATAGCTTCACCTGGAACAGATTTTACGTTTTTTCTGCTTTAAAATTCCGATTTATTTTTATTGCGGTCTCCACACAATCTCATATCCGCTATGTTGTATTTACAACTGGATCAACGACGCGGCTATCCCGGTATAGGCCACGGAAATCACGGTCCCTCCGCGGCTCCGGATGGCCGAAATCAAACAGTTGTACAGGAAGGTCTTGCCGCAACCTCCGGCTCCGGAAACGTAGAACAACTTGGGCAATCGACGCCTGGTGTCGCCGACCGCCCGCATGACGCGATCGTATATCGTCCGCTGTTGTTCGTTCAGTCGACCGACCAACTCGGCGACGTCTGCCGCCGCCGTCGCGTTGTCGGCTGGCGCGGCGTCCGGTACTAACAGAGCGCGATCGGGCTCGGGTAAACCGTAACCCGCGAGCGTCCTGTTCGAAGTGGCCAGGTGACGTTCCACGGCGGCCAAACACATGGCTTCGGATGTGTCGCGGTCTGCGCGTCGTCTGAAGTAATCTTCCATCAGATTGTCCTGTAAACACAACGAACGATTAATAATTAAATTCATCGCTCTTGCCGTTATTGCGCGAGCTATAAAAGAAAAAACGAAACAAAACCGTCCCGTGTACTTTGAATAGATATTGTCAAATAATCATTATTATTATCGTCTAAAATGAAATATTTATTATAAATAAAAGCAATTAAATAATAAATGAAATAAGCATGTCGTACACTGTAGTGATTTGCATACTTTGTTTTTTACCTCAACGTGTGAATACACGCTTTAATAAACATTTTATGAATTTATATACGGGGATCAAACACTATTGAAGAAACATCGGCTATAACAATGAAAAAATATTTGTAATGAACACGTAAATTAATGTTACGATTATATCGAATCGACGTGGAAAATTTAAATTTGCCAGTCAATGATACATAGCATGAAAAGTCGCGGCGTTGCAACAGTATTGAATCTACATATTTTTGCCGTTGTCCTATTTATTTACTTATTATTATTATCATCGTTATATGTGATCGATATTAATATGTTAATTGTAGCTATTAGTAAGAATATTATTAATAATAACGACAACAATAATAATTATAACAATCATTGTTATCGTTTTGTCCGTGAACAAACGGAATTTATAATTTTGAACTCTGATAGATATTCGTAAAATATTAATTATCCACACTAAAAGAACGCCGTCGCCATGCGAAAAAAAAAACAAACAGTAAATGTATATTAGTTAATGTGAACGGCCGTAAGGATCGATTGATTTGAATCGAGGTGGACTCGTTAATAATAACGGTAAAAATTGAATCCGCTTTGATTAAATTTAATTCGACGGTTATAGTCGTTTGAAACGAATAGTCATTACGAAATATTTATCTGATATGAATAAATAATGAATATTAAATTTAAATAAGCTTACATATTAGTTTCCTAAGTTTTTACAAACGAAATACGAAAAATATTTTAAAACTAAAGTCGATATAAAACTTGTAAACAATTTGTTAAGTGCACGTACGATAAACGTTATGGAGTCCGGTTACTTCGTCAATGTGAATTTTATAAATTTATGAGAACAACTAATAAAACGGTGCGGTGTAATTGTAATTGTAATTTATTACAAAAATAATAACTACCCTACGGTAATATTGCCGATAAATTAGTCGAGGAAAAATTTTCGCATCCATTACCTGTGGTACATCTGTCCGTGTGCGGTAAACACGCTGCCGGGCAACCGGCGGCCGGGCCGAGCCTCTATCGGCGGCGGATCGTTCACTATGAACGAAGGGAACGCCAGCGCGCTGTTGTATGGACGGATTTCCGCTCTAAAGGATCGCGATTGTGCCGAATAGCCGAGCATCAGGTCCTTCAACAGATCTGGAACAGGTAATAATACTTGGTCGTCCGCGAGGGCGACCAAACCATTAGAGCAACACAGAGAAAAATAAGACCGCGCATCGTTACTAATATTTAACCTTTCCACGCCGAAATGACGTGCGTTACAATGCGCGCAAACGTAATTCATTGGGCCAATGCAATTCTCCTCCGGTAAAACGTCTCGCACGTGAGCTATGAGTTCGACCGGTTGCACGGGTACAGCTTTAACAACACCGCCGGCTTGCTCTCGTTCCGGATTAGCACCCCGTCGATCGTCCTGTGCACGTAAAATTGGATTTATAAAACAGAGAATGTATATATACAATAAATATTTAAAATGCATTGTTATAAATATTAAATTTGTAACGGAATAATATATTTATATATTTAATTATTATATAATAATAACAATGAGCATAACAATAAAAATTATGAACAACAATATATATGTTGTTAAGTGATATTTTTGACATTTTGATTTTTTTAATGTCGAGTTAATATTCTGTTTAATCTTAAACAACATAAATCGTTTTCTGAGCACTGTTGTGCAGGCAGAGGTTATAAAACTCGTGTCATGTAAATATAAATGAATAAATGATTATAATAATTAATGGTGCTTAATGTCCAACTGAACTTCCAGAAATATTACGCAACACAATTTGTTATGCTCAATAAAATTGTAATTATCATCTGTCCCATTTGAATATTGTCAAACAAATGTGTGTGTGTATCTATATATGTTGCAATAAATAACACAAAGATAACACATTTTTAATAATTTGTAATAGTAGTTCCAAATGGAATTTAATAGTTTACAAACATTGGAAAAAAAAAATACAAAATAAATAGAAGATACGCCGTTCCACACTAAATAGGCAACACAACAGACGCGACGACCTACAGCGCTGTCGCTAAATGAACGTTTGTAATTTTTGTAAAAAAAAAAAAAAAGATAAAAAGATGTACACCGTATTATAATATAATGCACGTCACGCTATACAACAGATTCCGTTTTATTAAAGCCGAATGCTATATTTAATATACTATTTATTGTAATGTTCGAAATAACTAAACTCACTTCAGACGGAGCGACGTCGAGGGCTGGTTCGTTTTGAACTCCGACGACGGCGGCAAGCTATACACAACGGGATAGAAAAAAATAATAATAATTAAAAGTCTTTATTTCCGTCGTATTTCAAAGCGATTGAATAATTATTTTACTGACGTCGTCCAACCCGACATCGACGAATTCGGGCGACGGTTCGACGGGAGCCCCGACCACTTCGAACTGCACGTTAACAAAAAATAATATTATTTTAATTATTACTATAACACGACGTAATGAACACTACTCACTTCGAACGGATCGACGTCGACTATTTCGGGTGACGCTTCGGCTTCGACGACTTCGACCTTCGAACGTATTATAAGTATTCAAAAAGTTGTATATTAAATGTCTACATGAAAAAAAAAAAAAAACAATTTCGTACCATATCGTTTATATCGCCTACCGCCGCCTCATCATCAACGGCGATGCCGACGATTTCAACCTAAATGTATATACGACTAGTGATGTGCAAATTCCCAGGAATTTTATGATGGGAAAATTTCCGGAACATTCCTTATACCGGGAATTTATCGGGAATATTATAATTTTATTAAATTTTGTTCATATTTATTAATTTTGTTTCAATATTTAACTAAACTTATAGCTGTAAATGATCCATGGCCTATATTTTATACACAAAAATATTATTGGAGAAAAGTAAGACAATTGTGTAATAATTAGTAGAATTATTCTAAAAATATTTGATTTGATTAGGATTTAGCTACCTATAAATTTATCAATATAATGAAATTATGTACTAAAGGTTCAGTTGTTGATGCAAAGAATTGACTATAAGTAATTATTTAAACTGTTTGTATATATTTACATTAAACTAAATATGAAATTTTATGTTGAAACATTAGGAATTTTAAATATTTTATAACTAATTATAATTTTTGATTCTGTTATACTTTTCACTGTTTATATTTCAAATTAACTGTATGCTATGAATCATTTTATAGGCATCATAGTCTATGATGCCTATAAAATGCTTAAACAAGTTACCAAATTTAATACGTTATTTTTTGTTCACATTTTCCAGGTTTTTCAAAAGTAATAAAAGCAAAGGATAACTTTATTAACATAAATGTTTACTTATAAATGTAAATAACAACAAGATAACTTATTTCTTTTTGTTTTAAATACTCATTAAAGAAATCATTGTCACTGTCACTAGGACACCACTCTTCATCGTCGGACGAAATTAAACCATCAATTGACATTGAATTTTCATCTGACACAATTGATATATTAAGTGTATTTTTATCCATTTCATTAGGTTCACGGGGTTCGCCTTCATAATTAACATAAGTAACTTTTTTATTCTATTCTATATTTTGTCTCCAATAATGGGCAACAAAAGTTATTTTTGAAGCATTTGATGTTGTTAAACGGTTCCTTTTTTTGTGTGAATATTTGAGAATGTGCTAAATGAACGTTCAGTGGCTGCTAATGTAGCAGGAACAATTAATATTTTTTTTGCAATAATACATAAATGAGTACTTGAACAAAAACTCTTCCACCATATTAAAGGACTTATTTTCTCCACACATTTCCAAATAAAATTATTGCTTCATATATCTTGTCGAGATCTGTAATTTGCTATATCAGCTATTATTTGAGCACCATCCATTTTAAGAGAATCAGTCATATTATTTTGTATAGATATCATTTGATCAATAAACTCAATAGCTTTTAATACTTCTGAATTTGATAAATTACACCCTTGAGTTTTGGGATCCAACAAAGATGCAGCTAAGTGTAGAGGTTTAATAGTATTTAAATGTCTTTCTTTAAACTTATTCAGTATTATTTGCACTTTTTTAGTAGAAATAATCAGTGATTCTGAGATATAACTACAAAAAGTATTTTGAATTTCATAAAAAGCATCAAATACATGATTAATTATATTGCTGTCCCCTTCTAAAATTGTAATCCATTTTACAATAGGGTTAAGTAAATTAATAAGTTTATCGATTTTAGTCCGAAATACTGCATCATCTAAAATTAATTTATTTCTGTTTATTCCTATCATAGAAGAGCCAACAGCATGAACAGCTAATGTTTGTAATGATAATTTACATTCTTTCATTGAAGTTAACTAATCTTTCGTTAAAATAAGACCAACAATTCGAATATTTTTACCTGCCGGCATTTTAAAAGTATTTTGAAAAGTAAAATAACAAATAAAATAACTGTGAAAAACGATACTACTATAATCAATTTTAATCTAAGCCCTAATATATTGCTTATCAATAATATGTTGATAAACATATCAATGTAATCAAGATATAAATACAATATCGTTGTCTCTTTCACTAGCACTGCCATACTTTAGTAATTATAATAAATAAAATGTATTAGTTGTTATTAAAGAAATATTCCCGAGTGGTAATAGAATATTTCCGGAATATTCCTTATTTCCAGGAACGTTCCCTGGGGAATATTTCTTGTGGCACATCACTATTTGTTACACACCTTAACAATTGCGATTGGACAACACGCGGATACGGAATCTGATGGTTGTAAATAAATTGGAGACCGGCCAAACCCCGTGAACATATCAATACTGACCCTCCCCCCACGAATCGATTCGGTTAGGGATTACACGTTTGAAACAATCATAAAAACCATCAGATCCCGCGAACGCAATTATTAAAATATAGACTGTATGGAACTGTTTTACGTCCGACTGAGAGGGTCGAGCTGCTTCAGGATTGGCGACAATCACCTGAACATAATCATGAAATAAGATAATGGAATCCGGAACAACGAAATATATGTGTAGCGACTTACGGTGGGCACAGCGTTGCGAATGAGCACTCTGCGGACTGCGTTGCGACCGTAGTCGTTGACAGGGTCAAAGTGCCTGGAACAAATGAAAGCGCTCCGCAAGTTTACGGCCGCCGGATCGTAACCGCACGTCGCTACGAACGCCAACCACCTTTGGGTCCTTTCGACATCGCTGGGAAATCTGTGAACGTATAATTAGTAGATTTTAATAAGAGTGTCACCCGCGTGTAAACGCACACGTACGAACAACGGAAATAAGCCGTCGATACAAAAGTCGCGGGTTTTCAATTCGTTTAGGTTATGAGTACGTACAGTGGAACCTCGATTATCCGGGGTAATGACGGGGAGCGGGTCACACGGATAAATGAAAACCACGGTTGATCGAGACTTTTTATAATAATGAAATTTTTATTTAATTATAATAAGAAATGTAATTTATTTAATTTAATTAAAAAATGTTTTATATTAATACAAATGATGCATACATAATAAGTTATGAGGATGACGTTATTGACTTAAGAAAAGTAAGAAGTGATCAGCCTTTGTTTTTTTTGTTTTGAAATAATTGTCCTCACTTCACTTCTTATTTTTCTTAAGCCAATAACGTCATGGAAGTCAAAATCCTCCTGCTCGCAAAATTTCAAAAGGACATCAACTGCTTCCATTGCTTGGCTAGTCTGTATTTTTTCAAAACTCTCACTTTCATTATCACTCTCAGAAGAAGAATCAAGCTTTTGTGAGGTAGATAGTGTACTTGTACTGCCATAACGAGCTGCTATGTCAAAGTCACTTAAACGCTCAAATCCCTCTTCGTTATGATCTTTTTGTAGCCAATCAACAATATCGTCTTTATCAACGTTAGTGAAATCTGGAATAGATGTAGCAAGTTCAAGACAATCTTCTATATCTGTATCTTCGACATTTTCTTCGTCACCATAACCTTGATCTAAGATTTTCACCCAAGAAAGTCGTAACGTACTTGCAGGTACATTTTCCCAAGCATTACATACTGCGAAAATGGCATCTTTTATGGTCCACGTTTTCAAAAGTTCTTTCATTGAATCATAACAATTTTCTTGTAAGAGATAAAGGAGAAATATCTTTTTGTACTTTCGTTTCAAACAGGAAATCACGCCTTGATCCATTGGCTGTATTAAGGAAGTTACGTTAGGTGGTAGATAATAGACAAAAATTTGACCATCCATTGTTTTCAGGGTAGATTCTGAGGGGTGTGAAGGAGCGTTATCAAGCAGAAGAACAGCTCTTTTTGGTATACCTTTTTCATCTTGAAATTTTTTTACAGAAGGTACAAAAACGTTAAAATACCATTCACTAAAAATAACCTGGTTCATCCAAGCTTTTGGGTGGTGGTAATAATCACATGGAAAATATTTCATTTCGGTTCCTTTAAAAGATCTTGGTTTTTTAGCTTTTCCAATTACAGTTAATTTGATCTTATGTGTACCGGTTGCATTTGAACATGTCATAATAGTAAGTCGTTCTTTGCTAGATTTATGTCCAGGAGCTGATTTTTCAGATTGCGCGGCAAGTGTTTTTGAGGGTAACATTTTCCAGAATAGACCTGATTCATCTGCGTTGTACACTTGATCAGGGGACAGGTTCAATTTTGAAAGCATTGAATTGAATTCGTCATTAAACAGTGTTGCAGCAGTCAAATCTCCACTGAGACATTCACCTTGAATGTCCAGCTGTCTTATACCATGACGAGTTTTGAATCTAAATAACCAACCTTGTGAAGCATTAAAACTTTCCTCTATTTTCAAATTTTCATGAAACCATTTTGCTTTTTCACAAACTATTGGCCCAGAAATTGGAAGTCCTTCAATACGCTTCTGTTTAAACCATTCAAAAAGAGCAGATTCCATATCTGATAATGATGACTTTTTCATAGTTTTTCTCGTAGCTGATAATTCTGGACAAGATATGAACTTAAAAATTTCATTTTTTTGTTTGATTAAGTCACGAACTGTCTGTTGACCCACGCCAAACTCGTCTGCAAGTTTTTGTATACTTTCACCATGATCTACAGCTCGGTTAATAATCAACACTTTTTTCTCAAGAGAAAGAACGATACGTTTTCGTTTAACACTCATTATTAGATAAGGTAACGTCGCGAACGCTTATAGTAAACTGAAGGTGATACGATAAATACAATTTGTAATAATCTACAATATTGTTTATCTTGATATTGTTATCGCCATAATATGTACAATCCATAACTATTTTTAAATTTTCGGAAGAGTGAGCACGGTTATTCGCGAACACGGATAATCGAAGCACGGTTAATCGAGGTTCCACTGTACTTGTGTAGACTGACGCCGTCGGCCACAATTGCGCTGCACAAGTAACACGCGTGTACCATTTTAAATTATTAAATTAGTCTTTAGAATATATATATATATATATAAATTAGTTATCACTGTATATATATATATGTATATTAGTAGCGTAGGGAAAAACAAAAATACGAAAAATCCTTTTTTTGTGTAGTCAATACGCATAAGTGTATACATAAAAATGAAAATTTGGCTTTTCGATTGATTATAAATTTCGGATTTGTGAAATGATAACGCGACGATGCAAGTAATATCGGTAGGACGACCGAAACCGGGTCGTGGTCCGAGACACGGACGATAGAAAGTCGCGCGGTTCAAAGTTCAACTCGCGCGTGTGACGAAAAACTGCAGCGGCCGTGTTACCGCGGATTTCGCGTCGCGCGTAAAAATAATTGATTCGNAGATTTCGCGTCATGCGTAAAAATAATTGATTCGGTGTGGTTAGGGGCATTGACGTTTTACGAAAAACATCTTTTTGTAAAAGCGAACGCGGACCTCGGATGGTGGCGAGTGTCTTAGGGTTCGGCTAAATAAGTGAATAGCCCTATTCGATCGCGTCACAAAAATCGGCGACGGGATCTGATTGAACTCGGTTTAAACGCTGACGACTCTCGGAGATTATAAAGTGACGGAGTCCAAAGTCCGACTTGGGAGTGGCAAAGAATTCCCGGACTGAAAAATCTGTTAGCGTTATATCACAGTTGATTCAGGTATTCAGTCAACATGAAACAGGTGTTCGTGAAATGCAACATTTTTACAGTGTGCGGCACAACGGCACAACATACTGTAAGAACTAATAAAAAGAAGAAGCGCAAGGGTCCAAAAAGTAAGTGCGCTTATTAATTTATACTTTTATTAATCATGCACCCATATCGTATTGATGACGGATGATATTCATTTTCGCAGTGTGCTGGAGGTGCAAGAGTGGTGGCCACTTGAATCGGGAATGCCCGAGTAGTTATACATAAAACTACGACTTATATCTGTGTATTAAAAAAACGGTTTTTTTTTTTTAGAACGCAAAACAGTACCACCACCTCCACCACCACCACCACCTAACCTACACAACCAACAACATTCGAAACGGAGCGACGGGCTCGCCGCAATGCGGAGGAGGAGGTCGAGCGATTGAGGTTGCTATTGCAAAATGCCACAACGGCGGCCTCCTCGTCCTCCTCCTCCTACACCGAAGACTGCGGCGGATCGGGTGGTCTAAGGTATGAAATACACACGTACAATAGAGGCAGAGCTGATAAAGATTGATTTTTCAAAAAATCAAATTGTTTAATAAAATAATATAGAATTAATTTTTCGTTCAAAGCTAAGGATATTTATTTACGGTAAACCAATAATAGCTGATTAAGTAGAGTACGCGAAAGTTTATTATTAATTCTTAGTGCTACGTTCTGCCTCTTGCATTTATTTATCTTATATTGTTACAATAGATGCATAACGATATGCGTGTTTTTTTGTTTCAGAATCGAATTAAACAATTATATATTAATCACAAATATATGAAATAAAAATAAACGTACAATTAAAAACGTGTTGTTGATTTATTTTCATGTTATCATATATAATAATAATTACAGTGTTCGACGATTGTGAATGGGGGTAGTAAAATGTCAATTGAATAACGGTATAATTAGAAAAAAAATTTTCACAAAAGATTATACAATAATTATGCAACATATTACAATGGTTAACAGTTAAATGGGTCCTTCTTTAAAATAAGATAAATCAAAAATGGTTAGAGTCCGTTTAAACCGTATGATAAAGGAACAGGTCGACATGTACAGCACACGACTTTCGCTTGACTATATTACATAAGATGAATTTTATTTGTAAGTTGAAAAAAAAAAATTATATAGAATATATCGAATACGCGAAAATAAACTGTAAGCGAAATATTGAATGAGATAATCCTAACGTGTGTGTACCTTAAGTGAAATGATTAGTCTAAATAGTTAAATAATGTGGTAAAAAATTGATATTCATGATTATTATTAATTTATTTTGATTGCATGAATAAGCACACGTAATGGTATGGAATAATTGCTCGGAGCAATTAAAAAAAAAAAAAAATAGTTCAAAGAAAATATATATAAAAATACAAAACGATATATATATATATTTATATATGCTTATGGCAAGTGCAGAAATCATTGTAGAAATGTAGAACACAACAAAAAGAAAATCACGGTTGACATATATGAGAGAAAAAAATATATTTACAGGCGAGATATTATTTGTCTCGCTGTTAAATGTTTTCGTTGTTAACATTACAAACTCGATGTAAACAAAANTTGTAAACAAAATCTTATCGAATTGGGGATTGATAAAATACCTCAGTGTTGTACGGCAATGGTATTTACTCTAGAGAAATCAAAGACTCGAAATCAAGCATAAATATTTTTTAATTTAATAGTTTGATCAATGATGCATTGTTAGTTTAATTATTTGACATTATAAATATTTTAAATTATCGACTTCGATTTTAATGTGTTTTTCCATACTGAAATAATGAGCGTTAAAAAATTTCAATGTAATTTTCCACGCAGGGAACAATAAAAATACATGTTAATTGTTACTACTGAGGGGGAGTGACATCGAAATGGTCTATTAAAAAAGATAATATCGAAGTACGGTTGATAGAAGTCTACTGGCGTTTTCGATGAGCTCCAAAAGAGAACAACGCACAGCGATCCGTGTCTAACAGCCAGACGTTACCGGGTCGATCGATAACAACAATGTACGCCGTGGGTACGAAAGAATTGAAAACGGTGAGATATCCCAGGGCCTGCACGGTCTGAAATTCATAAATCCCATAAATTAATACAATCATTAATATTATGTAATCATCAAAAAAGTAAATATTTAATTATTGCACCATATGTGTACGACTGTATAATTGTACAACAATCTTAAACGTTACAATACACAATTGGGATAGAACACCACAGAGACGTTCAAGATTGTGAATAAATAAATATGCAAACAAAAATTAAAATAATTTACAAAACACATTAATTAATGTGTTTTGTGATGACTGCATTAGTCGTCTCCGCAGTAAATAAATAGTTAACTATTGCAATTTCTGTTTGTCAAGACAGTGTAGTCATGTACACGTATTAATAAGTGAAGAGATGTTTGCGAGTGTGAATACTATAACAAAAATTGAAATTTTATATAAAAAAAAAAAAAAAAATCGAATTATTACCAGACTAATAAATCTGTTGACGATTAGAGCCAGTATACTTGGTCGGCAGGCCGAGCCAATATCGAAGCAATTCCCAGGATCTGAAAATTACAAAATCATATTAATCAATACTCTCATTACCATGATTATGTAAACGATTTTAAAATTATAACATAATTATTGCAATAGCTGTGAAATTGTCAATCGGGGGACTTTCAATAACAAATAATCATAGAGGATACCACAAATATAAACATAGTACACGCAAACAAAAAACTGATTAAAAAAAAAAAAAAAAGTATATAAATGTAAATATATATGGATTGTATAAACTGATGAAAAACATATTGCAGCAATAAATGAAATACAAATCGAACTAATGATTAAAATATGCAAAGTAAATCGATTAAAATGTATAAAGAAGAACTCTATTTTGAGATACTCGAGAACACCACAAAGACGTTCATGAGTGTGAATAAATAAACATGACAACAAAAATTAAAAATGTATGATTAATTTAGTTAATTTAGTTCAATATACAACACATGGTGTAGTCACCAATAGATAAAACACTGACCGACTAATTTTAATTAACAAATGAAAATGAATTACGCGCGTAATAAATCCGTTATCCATTAGAACCAGCACTTTTGGCCAACAGGCCGAGCCATTATTGAAGCATTCTTCAGGATACAACAAACTCCTTCTAAATATTACAAAATCAAATTAATCAATACTGCCTTTACCATAATAATAATTATATATATCTACAATATTATTATTACAAATGCTGCGAAATTGTCAATAAAACATTTCAATAAAAAATATTCATTTAAAAAAAAAGGAATACATGTATATATATATAGAGAGAGAGAGAGAGAGAAAATATAGTATAGACTGATGTAGCACACATTGCAAAAATAAACAAAATACAAATCAACATATGCCAAGAAAATTAATTTAAATGTAAAAAGACGAACTCTACTCTGAGAAAAGTAAATAAAAATAAATTTTTTTTTGACAAAAGAATTACCCGTGCAATAAATCTAAAACTATCAACAACAATCTCCGGCACAGTCATGAGAGCACAACGGATACCATCTGAAAATGATAAAATCGAATTCACTAAAACTGCCATCACTATAATATAACTACAATATATTATTACTACAATTGCTATGAAATAGTTAAAAAAAACATTTCAATAAGAAATAATCTTAATGGTATTCACAAATATAATAAAAAAAAGTATATATATATACATCTATATGTATAGAGAGAGAGAGAGAATATATAGACTGATGAAGTACATATTGCTTCACCAATTAACAAAATACAAATCCACCTAATGATTAACGTATGCTAAAGAAATGGATTAAAATGCAAAAGGATGAACTCTATTTTAAATAAAGTCAATAGAAATAAATTTCTTTTAACAAATGAAAATGAATTACCGGTGCAATAAATCCAATAACGATGACTGCCATGAATCTCTAGCTTAGTCGTTATACTGGAACCACAATGGTAGCACAGTCTAAAAATTACAAAAACAAATTAAAATTTAATACAGCCATTACCATAATATATTATATAATCTACAATATTTTTATTGTAATTGCTGTGAAAAAATAATAGTAATAAAAAATGTATTTATATAAATATATAGATTGTATAGACTGATGTAGTAGTACATTACGCACCGATAAATGANTTATTGACTGATGTAGTAGTACATATTGCACCAATAAATGAAATACAAATCAAACCAATGATTAAAATATGCAAAGTAAATAGATTAAAATGTAAAAAGATGAAGTCTATTTTGAAAAAAGTCAATAGTAATAAATTTTTTTTAACAAATGAAAATGAATTACCTTTGCAATAAATTCAATAGCGATGACTGCCATCAATGTCTAGCTTAGTTATCGTGGCACAACAGATACCGTTTAAAAATTACAAAATCAAAAATTGATTAAAACTGCCATCACCATAATATAATAATAATAATAATAATAAATAATATTAATATATATAGAATATTGTTATTGCAATTGCAATGAAATTATCAATAACACATTACAATAAGAAAAAATCAAAAAGAGAATCACAAATATAATTGTAGTACTCACAAACAAAAAATTAAAAAAAAAATGTATATATATACAGAGAGAGAGAGAGAGAGAGAGATTATATAGACTGATGTAGTAGTACATATTGCACACCAATAAATGAAAAGAAATCGAACTAATGATTAAAATATGCAAAGTATATCGATTAAAACGTACAAAGATGAACTCTAAATTAAGAAATGTGAATAACAAAGATTATTTTTTAAAAAATTACAAAATCAAATTAATTTATACTGCCATTACCATGACTATATCAATAATTTAAAAACTATATCGTTATTACCACAATTTAATAATTACAATATAAAAAGATAAACTTTACTTTAAGAAAAGTCAGTAACAAATAATTTTTTTTTAAAGAAATTAAAACTAATTACCCTTGTAATAAATCCGTTATCCATTAGAACCCCAATTGGTCCATAGGCCGAGCCATAATTGAAGCATTCCTCAGGATACAACATACTCCTTCTAAAGATTACAAAATCAAATCAATTAATACTGCCTTTACCATAATATATGTAATATAATATAACATATTATGAATTAATCTAAATTAAATATATTATATAAAAAATAAATTTTTTTTTGACAAAAGAATTACCCGCGCATTAAAACTAAAACTATCAACAATCTCCAGCGCGGTCATCAGAGCACAACAGTTACCATCTGAAAATTACAAAATCAAATTAATTAAAACCGCCATCACCATAATATATAATAATATATTATATCTACAATATTATTATTGCAATTGCTGTGAAATTGTCAATAAAACATTTCAATAAGAAATAATCATAAAGGCAATCACAAATATAAATGTAGCGCACGCGACAAAAAATTAATTAAAAAAAAAAAAGTATATATGTGTAAATATATATATAGAGAGAGAGAGATTATATAAACTAATGTAGTACAAATCAAATAAATGATTAAAATATGTAAAGTAAATGGATTGAAATGTAAAAAGATGAACTCGACTTTGAGAAAAATAAAATTGTGACAATTAATTTTTGTTTAATGAAATAAAATGAATTACCCTTGTAATAAAACTAAAATCATCAGCAATTTCCAGCGTATTCATCGGGGCACGACAGATGCAAGTCTAAAAATTACAAAATAAAATTAATTTATCAGTGCCATTACCATTTATTTAAAAACTATATTAATTACTGACCGACTAATATGGTAAAAAAAAAAAAAAAAATGAATTACCCGTGTAATAAATCCGTTATCCGTTAGAACCGATTGGCCTACAGGGCGAGCCATTATTGAAACATTCCTCGGGATACAACAAACGCCGTCTAAAAATTATAAAATCAAATCGATTAATACTGGCGTTACAACGATTATATAAACGATTTTGAAATTATATATATTAATAATTACAATTGTCGTGAAAACGTCAGACGCGCAGGTTTTTCGTTGTGTTTTTTAACGCAAAAAAAAAAACGCGTTACTCGTTTGATAAATCCGTTTGTGAGATCGTTAGAGCCAGCACTCTCGTTATCGAAGCAGTCCTCCGGGCACACGACAAACGCCGTGTAAAAATTACAAAATCAAATCAAAACACAATATCGACAATTGATAAACTGCGTTAATCGCAGTAATCGCGGTGCAAAATTACCAACGGCGAGTTTCGATTAATGTATATATAATATTAATTTAATAAATATTGTTCGTCTACAGGCTCCTAAATACCGGTTGGCCTGATTGACTTAGGACTTGAATTCAAGGAAACACCAATAAATTATTAAATAAGAAACTCGAAAGGAATTTGTCTATAATAACAAAATTAGTTTAATTAATAATAAACTTTATGGTTGGGCGTCCCCACTTACATTAATAATGATAACTAAATAATACACTGCAATAAAATAAGTACAAATATAAATTTTATGTGCTATAGACTACAATAATCTGACCTGGGCAGACATCAAGGATTGGATTATAACTGTTATATTCAACCAACTTCAATCGTTTGAATGAAACAAAACACGAGTAAACTATAATGATCACGCGCCCGGTAAATCCACCGAATTCACCTTTACATTACGATACCGCAAAGTCGCGGAAAAAACTCGTGGCGGCGCCAATGGGTCTAATCACTAGACCATACAATGGTTGACTGACTAGATAAGGCGACGACTTACCGGACAGCGAACGGCATCCCCACTTACTATATGTAACCGGTTCCATTCGGGCCGCAAGTTGAACACAACCACATAACTTGCCGCAACAAATATAATATATAAGATTAATAGAAAATTTATACAAAATCACATTAACGAATTAATAAATATACAGCCACTTCTAACAATAGAGAAATAAACGACGACGCACAAAACGGCGGCGCGGTGATAACGAACACGGTGATAAGGACGAAAAGAGGCCGAGCGGGAGGCGCGTTCCCCTATTTCGCGTTGTTTTCCGTTCCACGGAATCGCGAATTTAAAAAAACGGGTACGACGAAAAATTCGAACGAAGAGAGGAAAAGACGCGAAACAATAGGGGCCGTCGAACGGTACGGGACGGAAGACGATAGGAGAAAAACGGTAATTTTAACGCGTAAAAAACGCAATATTTCTTCCAGGTGGAGCTTATTTAGAGGGGCTGAGAAAATAGTATATAGCTGGAGAAGAAAATAGTATATAGCTGGAGACTAGAGACTAGAGATTGATAATATACTTAATATAAATATTTCGAATTATAGTAAACAAATTTTATTTATGAAAAAACTTTGTGAAATTTATCAGTATAATCGATTTTTAAAAATAAATAAATGCATTGAAGGGTTAAGACATAATGACAATTTAAAAATTATACTTACAATTAAATGACTGTTGAAAATACACAAGAATGGCTGTGAAAAACAGTAGTAGTATATGATGAATAGCACCGTAAAAACACCAAAAAGAGAATGAACAGATAATGGGTTATTTCTACAGNAGAATGAACAGATAATGGGTTATTTCTACAGTTATATAGTAAAATTTATATTTTTAAGGACAATGAAGTTAATTGTTTGGGATAAAAGTCCCTATGAATTCAATATCTTACTAGTGGGGATCAATAAATTGCTTACATAGATTTACAATGTTGCAATGTAAAACGTAATTTAACGTTAAAAAATGTATAGAATATTTACT